TGCGTTGATTGAGGATACTTTGGACGCCTTCGGCCTGCATGGCATGGGCGGAATCTGGGGTGCGGTGCTCACAGGCATTTTTGCCTTGGAGGAGGGCCTGATCTACTCGGGCAGCTTCCTCCTGATCGGCAAGCAGATCGCAGGCGGGAACGGCTGGGCACTTGGGCAGGTCACAGATGTGTGGGCACTGCGGCAGGTGTACGAAAGTGGACTGCAAAGGGACTTGTCAAGCATCTAATCCTCTTGAAGTCACTAATATTGGCAGATTCATTTTGTTTTCAGTGCTGTCGTGCGATGTTATCACAAAATTGAGCCCGAATCGGTTTTCACCAACATCTGAAAGCAGACTCGTCATGTCTCAGAATCTGTCACATGTGCTTGTTTAGGCTTGCCGTGAAGAGCACTGGCCTCCCTTCTCCCATGTTCTCCTAAGAGCGGGTGAGACACGAAGTACCAACAGTCAATAGTCACACGGACTGAGTTCAAAATCAATCCTGAATCCTTCTCTCAGATGAAAGCCATTTCCACTTAGACTTGTTGTGGTGTTCCAAGTACAGATTGTTGACGATTCAGGGTCCCTCTCCCCAGTTTGGCAGTTTGCGCCATAAACAGCGCGACTTCACCGCCGATGCACAGGAGCCCTAGCTGGCGCGGCCTTTTCTGCCGTGGGCACGGCCATCATCGTTCTGGCCATGAAGCTTCGCTTCGGTCGGTCAATGTTAATGTTGATGTTTTGTTTGGGAGTGTCCGTGGCTAGTACGAACCGTCTCTGGATGAGTTTCTTCTGGTTAGACTTCTCATGTTCTCTTTGGTCTTTGGTGAGTGGATGCGTTGCTCCCACTGAAAGATTAGAGTTGGTCGCCAGCAACTCCGAAGAGCATGAAAAGAAGAATGGCTTCAACTTTATGTTAAGCTCCATGCAGAAATTGCTTTGACCCGAAAGGAAGCTGGTGGTGGATGTGCGGGTGCCGGAGGACCACGAGAGGAGCGGCGTGGACGAGCACACCCACGGGGAGTTCTACCATAGCCCGGTGAAAGCCTACAAGGGCCCCGTCAAGGACATGGTTGGACATCTTGATGTTTGTTTGTTTTTTTTTCTTTCTGTCATATTTCAATCGAATCCCATAGTGAGACTTTTTCGGATGGCAAATGTCAAAACTATCCAAACAAGACAGACCCACAAAAAAATGGTTGGTGTCTCCATGGGGTCCAATTTTTTCGACACCCTCAATCGAGACTTTCCAGAATGGGCCAGGAGTACCAGGCAGAGAGCGAGGGCTCCACTGAGGTCTGAGCGCAGGAGCGGAGTGTTTTTTGTTCTTCTTCTTTTTTTTGAGTCTTCACTTGGCCCAGTGGCGTCTGGACTTTGGGGTGTGCCGAAAGAACGGTTTGGCCATGGAAACAGACGACAAGAACTCGTCACCATTGATGAAGGCCGCTGTTTTGTGAGGATGTCGCTTCGGACTGCGGTGGGCCCGGGGAGAATGGAAGGTGGCAGTCCCGCACCAGGCACAAGGCAGGTGCGTAATTCACGGGGAGGCGACCAACCGCCCCTCTTCCCACTTGGCACGTGCCAGCCGAGGAGTTGGCACCTGCCCACTTTTAATGATCCCGACATGGGGACCCCTTTTTGTCCACCCCCCCAGGCCTCGTTTTTGTTGATACCTACTGATACTGACTGTTTGGGTCCAAACAAAGTTTGGGGGTAGAACAGAAAACCGGGTTCTCCGTGATGCTGGGATCTGCTTCTCGACGTCATCTTGGCTGGAGGTCAATGGACGTCAGATCTCCGCGCGGATTTGCAAGCCACTCGCGGGCGATTCAGGGGACTCGGCAGGGGGTCCTGACATACACGGAACCCTCGGCTCAGCGTGCCCCGTTTTGCCAAGAATTTGCCCGCTGAAGGACCTGCGCAGGCGCAAATACTTAGCTCTCGCCCTTTAACCCACACGAGCTGGATGGATTTCACGACCTGGCTGCCTTTCGTTTAATGAAATCATGACCTTTTCATGGCATAGCATGGGTCTTTGACGGAACCTTTTAGACACATAATCATGCTGGTGGCACCAACCCCTACGACTCCTTCCGCTCGTGCCTGAAAGGGGCTTGCGGGTCACATTCTTGATCGGATCAAGATAAGCTGGCCCTCCCAAGCGTCGCTGATTTTTTTTCATATAGTTCAACACAATGCGAACGCGGGCCCCAAGCCCCTCACAAGCAACTTCATGTTCCGTGTGCACTATTTTTGGGCAAGTATTTGTATTTTTGTTTGTTTGCTTGTTTTTCAGTCAATTGCCCTGGCCCCCTTTGCACTAGCAATAGTAAATCACTGAGACGGATACCAGGCTTTTCTTTTTGAACGTCCCGGAATAGCAACATGGGTATGGCTCAAAATTGAAAAGCAGGTGTTACGCAGGTTTTGGTCCATGTTTCCACTTACCAGGGTTTCATTTTGGTATCGTTTTTTGAGCCACAGCCACATGGCGACTTGGTTATTTGTTTGAGAGAGAGAGAGAGCGCGAGAGAGAAAGAAAGAAAGAAGGAAGGAAGGAAAGGAAAGGAAAGGCAAGGAAAAGAAAAGAAAAGAAAGGAAAGGAAAGGGTAATAAAAGAAAGAAAGAAAGAAAGGAAGCTGTCTCAGGCGAGCGAGCTTCCTTCTTTCGGTGTGTCGTTGTTGCAAGGGGGAACTGTGATTGCTTCTCAAAGTTAGTGACATTCTCAGGTGGTTTGTTTTCTCTGGGTTTCCTGCATTGCCATCCCAGAAGGAGGGGTGAAAGTTGAGTCCTCTTTGCTTTCTTAACCACATGTGTAGAAGTTACATCGATCAATTTTGAGAGGAGGCGATGAGAAAGGAACACAATCCTTCTACCCCAGCTCTTCATAGTAGACAAAGACTTGTCGTTGCCCTGGCTAGCGTTCCTTCGAGAACAAACGCATATTGTTGATTCATGATCAATATCTCGATTATGAGTTGTAGAGACGTACGTCATATATTATACATAGGTGTCAGTAGCTGTATTTACAAATGCACCCCGGTTACAGACACAGATGCAGTCGGAGTGCTTCCATGCCCCTGTATAGCAATCCACCAAAAACACCACCCTACGGAACATGGGGGACTCCTACACGTATGGCTATGCTAGCTGGGATCCACTGGGACATGTAACTATTTATTCCTATGATAATATATATAGAGCCATATTATTCTTATATGGTTTGTTTTGCAGCATGTGGGTTTTGGGGTATGTAGAACGCCTCATCGCTTTTGCAGGTCTTTGACCTCGGGACGCCTGAATCTGAATGCGCCAGGTGAGCTTTGGCGCCGCAGCACAGCGGAGGTGTGGGCGCAGGGGATGCGGAGGGCGGGCTCCGGCGCCCTGAGGGAAACCAAAAGAAGGAGGTTGACATAGTGGCACAAGAACATGTTTCTCTCACACGACGATTACAGCAGATGGAGACTGCTGCCACACTTAGGAAGCGGAACTTCCCAAGGCCTTGGTCGATTTTGGCATGGAACCCAAGTGATTGGATGGAACCCAAGCGATTCAACGTGGGCGCCTGGAACCGTGGAGTTTCCTGAGGCTGTGGCTCGCATGCAGTTCGGCCTGTCGGCCCTACACGTTGGCGAACTCTCATCAGCCCATGGAAAGCGAACCCCCGATTCCGGCAGAGAAACACACATGGCTCAGAAACTGGAACGCAAACCTCGACGAAGGCTCAGATTCTAAAAGCAAAGCTCTGAATGCCCGCGATCCCCTTGTGACATGTCTCCGAATGTGAGGCTTCGGCGCTTCCGCTGGCAACAGGCAGACGAGGGCTTTGCAGCTTGGCCAAAAGGGGCCAGGTGTCTTCCATGGCATATTTTCTTCAGTCCCAGCGATGGGCGCGCTTTCAAATTCAACTCATGTGTGTGTGTGTGTGTGTGTGTGTGTGTGTGTGTGTGTGTGTGTGTGTGTGTGTGTGTGTGTGTGTGTGTGTGTGTGTGTGCGCCTCGCTTCCTTTTTCCCCATGAGTTTGTGAATTTTAGGTGGCACCCTTTGGTGGCACCCTTTGGTGGCACCCTTTGGTGGACATGATTCAGGTGGGAGCCAAATATCCACCAGCCACTTGAGTTTGGTGGCTCCCGATTGCGTGGGCACCTGGCTTGGGGGGTACTTACACACCATGTGACGCGGGGAGTAGGCGACTCAGCGGCTATTCTGGGAGCCTAGACCATAGTTTCGATCCATCTATTTGTTTGAAGCTGAAGCCCAAAAAAGGGATGGGCTATGGTGCCAATTTTGCCATCTTTTTGTTTGGCAATGAGCCAGCTTTGTCGAGCGGTCAAACATTTCGTGCTGCCAGTCTTGAAGCTTAAATGAGCAAGGGCTGCTCCCTAAAGCGCCCTTCACAGTGAATCAAACACAACTTTGAGGAGGTTTCTTTTAAGGATCACGAGCAGTTGCGCAACTTGCTTGTTGGGTACCAATGAGACCCTGAGTCAAAAAAAGCTGGATCACTCCCGTGTTCTTTGCCAAGCGCAAGCAAGGCAAAAGGAAGCCCTTTGCAATAGATTGCCCGGGTCAAAAGACGCCAAGGCCTTTCACTTGTTTGTTTCGCCGGTGCGAAATGTGGAAACTTTGTTTAGCTTTCAGGCGGGCAGCACTTGCGCCTGGCTGCCGCGACGGGACTGAGAGCTGCGGTCTCGCGCGGTGGAAAGGAGTATGCCGCATGCGGTGAAGGGCTTGGCTGGCTCTCCAAACCGTAATTAGCCCTCCTCAAGGTGCTTTTTGCCCGCACTGTCCAAAAGCCGGTTTGTTGTGGCCCCAGTGGGACCTCTGTTTTTTTTTTTTTTTATTAATGTATGTCCACCCGGTGTGCCCATGACTCTTAGAAGAAAAGAACTCCGGGGGCGTTTTTTTTTTTGTATACCCAAAATTGGTTTGGGGTAATGCCGCCAATGTTGCAAAGGCGTCATGGCGTCATGGAGTCATGGAGACTGGAGCAGGTCGTGGAATTGAGGTTGCGCCTGAGCCGCATGCCCACCAGAGATGACCCCTTCGGCTCGCACTCCATGATGCTTTGGTCCGCTGCTCAGCGGGCCCTAGGAACTTCAGACTACAAAAACGGGATGGCCCGGTGAAGTCTTCAGGGAACCCTGCATGGGCTACGTGCGAACTGCTTTTGGGTCGCTTGCTTGGGGATGGGTTTTTGGATGTTTTTGGGGCTTCCCAAGCCCAGGCCCCTCCCTGCGTCAGGTCACATCTCAGCAGGAGGTTCCTCTTGGATTTGGGTTGCTTTTGGCTAGGGGTGTTTGTATGACATTCTGTCATCGCATTTGAAGGAGCCCGGGGGAACCCTCCGATTTGGCCGATGTGCAGCATGAGGCAGGATCAGTGCGACGCCTTCAACCTCACGGAGGAGGCCCAGGAGACTTGCCCTTCGGCTCAGAAAACCGAAAGGACACGGTGGTTGTCCTGACAAAATTAAACCACCAGGGGACCGCAGGTTTTGGTCCATGTTTCCACTTACTAGGGTTCCATTTGGGGTACCTATTCTTGACCCACAGCCATTTAGAAAAGGCTTCCTCTCAAGAGACTCCCTTCTTCTTCTCCTTGCCCTGTGCCCTGGAAACGGATGCTCCGCGCCCCTATCGCCTCAAAAAGAAAGGCAAACTATAACTACAACAAGCATCAAGACAGAACCGGTCACCAGAATCGACCTGACCGAGACAAAACCTGGCTGGTCGGGTGGCTCACTCGCCGGCCCTCTGCGCTTCAAAGCAAGGGCGGCGCACGGCGTCTGCATCTGCAGCAAGGGTCTGTGCCTCCATACTGCGTGCTTGGCACAAACAGTTCTCGGCACAAAAAGTTCTCGGCACCTTCACTGTCGGGCCCTGTGCGGCATGCCCGCAGCAGCTCGAGGTGTCCAACCACGCTCTGCGCAAATTCATGCAAAAATGCTTTGGGGTAAACTGCCTATTGCTGAGAACCGGCAAGCTCATGTTTTTCCGGGCGTGCGATTGTTGTTTGGCTGGCTTGGGAGGGACACCGACATTTAGGGCTCCCTTATTTGGACAACCCTCATGGCGAAGGTACAAAACCCTCGAAGGATTCAGACCAACAGGAAACCAGCCTTTGTTTGATGGTGCCCATTTGGTGTATTGAATTCCAGGACAACCCTGCATGAGGCCCTGTGGCAATCCATGTGTACGCGGACATGGCCCGTTGTGGTTGGTGTTTGACGTGATACCCATTTGGACAGGGGCTCACCTACTCCAAATATATTTGGAATCAAAAGTTGGACTCCGAAGACGCACCTTCTCAAAGGGAGACCAATGCGGCAACCGCCCTCCCCTCCCTCCCAAATCTGGGAAAGTGTCAAGGTTGGAGTTGTCTGCATGGCTTTGGAGGTCGCTCTGCCTTCATGAACCTTTGCATGGGCACAAGGGTGCGAAGTAGACCTAAGTTGCAGTGATACACATCCTGAAGACACACACACACACACACATGTATGGTGTCATGCTGGGACCTTGTTTTCGTTTGGATCACTTTAAGTAGGACCTCAGAAAAAGAGCGCAATTTGTCGACTCCCTGGGAGTGGGGTGTCATAACCGCTGCCAGGCCTTTGTGATGAAGAGTTTGTCGCATTCTGCTTTGTTGACTCGTGTAGTTCCATGGAACCGGCATTGCGGAATCTGATCTTCACACCCTTCACGGACAGAACGGCAGGCGGGCCACACGGGTTCGAATGATGCTCCCATGGGTTCACCATACGGGGAGGACTCCGAAGTTTGCTCAAGCAGAGATTCTCCCCAGAGCTGGGAGAGGAGCAATTGATCACCCCTGCGCTTCAGCTGAGGCGGCGTCTATGTGAACGAGACCGGTCTACTGCTCAAGGTGCCGCATGCCTTGAGCCGGATGGGAGGGAGCATCCCATGCCACATGTTGGCCAGGCAGAGAGGACATCCCGAGTACTGTTATCCACAGATTGAGGGCGCCAATCTTGTGTTTCTCGGATCTATACATTGTCTCAGGTGTACAAGTGGATTGGATGTGGCGAGGCGTTGTACTGCCCCGATGAATGTGGTCATAGCCGGGATTATGGGCTTTGGCCGTCCATGCCAGAAGTGGACCCTATAGAGATCATGGGTGGTGTTATTCCGACCTGGCAAGTTGAGTTGCACTCTCTTCGCGCTGTATTAAACCATGCCCAGACTCAACCAACCTTCCCTCAGCAACACAAGTTAAGTTTTCGAGGGTCTAAGCCTTGCCCACTCCTTTCTCGGTGCACGTACGCGATCAGGCCGCTCCGGATCCCGCCCAAAGGTTCCCTTTTGCCCACCAGGAGTGATTTGTTTGGTTTTGAATGGCTTCCCACAACTCACCGGGATCCCTTCAACAACAGAAAGGACTATGTCTGGTGTCCAGCTTGCGACCGTGTCTTCTTTTTTTCTTTTCTTTTTTTTCCGCCGCTCCCCTTTCGAAGGGGGTCGGACTTGGCTTTTTGTTTTTTCCTCCCAGGGTTGCCCCGTCGCCGTTTGGAGGCTCGAGTTCCCGGCGACCTTTTCTGTTTCCCGCTTGCGATGGGCACTTGGGGCGCCGCCGGCCTCGAAGCATGGACCCGCGACGCTGAGGCGCGAAAGGGGACGTGGGGAGTTCGGGTGGCTCGAGGCGTTGGTGGAGGTAGAACCGCCTGCTGTGCTTGTTAAACGCTCATGTGGAAAATGACGGCAGAGGGAACGAAGGGGGAAATAAGGGAGAATCATGCACTCGGCGTGAAGAGGAAATGGCCGTAAATGAACACATGTATGTGTATTTGTACATATGTATATATACACATAATTCACGTGATAGGATGTATCGTACGGAAAAGGCAAAGGTTTTGGTAGAAAATTGAATTAGAGCAGTCGCGGGACCCTAAGCGGGCTCAAGAAAACAGGTTCCGGCTTGGCATGCATCCCTTTTTTTGTTTTTGTTTCGTTCAAGGACCACACAATGGGCTTTCAGCAAGTGGCTTCGTTAGGCGAGGCGGGTCTCGGAAGGAAGGTTTCACGTGTTTACTTTTGCCGCTCAGTCAGAAGGGTTCCATGAAATGAGGTGCCTCCTCAAAACCTGGCTGAAAGTTGCATGTTGGTTTGCTCGCAGTCACCGGAAGAGGTTCTTTGAGGTGAAGCAGCCTATGCCCACACAGGGCGTTGGTTTGCTTTCATTTCACCACTCACCAATGCTATGGTTTCCCTCAGCAACTGGTGTGTTTCCCAGACCCCAAACACCATAGGCCCAATCCCTCGGTTGCAGGCAGCGAGAGCACCTTCGAAGAGCGCCAACAGCGCAGGAGGAGAGAGCGGGGAGGTGCACAAATGAGGGAAGAACCCCGATCAACAATCCCTTGTCATTCAAGGAGATCCCTAGGTTCATTCCAAAAAAGAACTGTTGATTCTCCGCTCCCACTGAGAACCACTGAATGGTATTGGAATTTTTGTTTGGGGCGTGTGCTCCGAAAAATCGCCGCGAAATGCCCGTGGCACGGGGTCTGGGCTCTGCGGCCGGTTTCGTGCTCTCTTGAACCTCATTGGTGGGAAACCAGTTGAGCCACGTTTCGGGCTTGCATTTTTTTGGGGGGTCGCGCCGGAAGCATGGCGCGAATTGGCACTGGGCACTTGATTGCCCGAGATTTCTGCAGAGACCACGACCCCGCGAATCAGAACAGTTCGCCTTTGCCCTGAAACAAGCCACACCCAGCTCGTGGCTCATGTGAGGCAAGTCTGCTCACAGCCCATAGAGGCCTGCTCAATGCCATTTGCTGAATTGTTGTGTTCCCTGGGGCTCTTTCCGTGGTCTTCCACTTGCTGAACATGGTTATGACCTCGACTTTCAGTGGGGCCCTTTGTTCAGCCTGTTTTTGGAGTGTGTTTCCCTTCAAGTCGACTACCGCAAGGCTACTGGGAGGTCTGGGCTGCTTGAGTTTTCGTGGCACCGAGGGCCCCATTTAGTGTCGGGCACTTCTAAACCGCGACTCTTGCCACCCCCACCCGCTTGACCATCATGTCTTTGTCTTGTCACTTGTTTGGGTGAAGCAGACAATTGGACCCCCTCTATATCATATATGAGCTTAGACGGCTCCTTGAAGGGGGGGGATTCCTGCTTTTCCTGAGTGAGGCGGTTGAACAGATAAATCCTTGTTACCGTTGCATGAGAGATCCATTTGCCAGGAGAAAAGCACGTCGAAGGACCACAGGGGGGCTTTGTGCATCCGGCTGTGCCCCTCTTTCAAAGTTTGTGCATCCGGCTGTGCCCCTCTTTCAAAGTAAGGTTCCCGGCAATCAGTAAATCCCTGGACCATCCTGGTCCCTATTCTCCTTGCGCAGTTGCAGCCGAGCCAGAAGGCCTGCTGAGACTTGAAAATGGGCTGCACCCCTTTGGGATGGCTTAAACAGAAAGCCAAAAGGAGCCCAATACCCGAAGATTTGTGCGGGAGAGCAGGAGCCCACGGGCGCGTCAGGTTCACCTGGTTCAGGTTTGCCCCTTTGTCACACAAATCCTTCTGGCCAGTGCGAGGGAGTTCTTCCTTGGCCCCGGTTTTTGCTGTGCCCGAACCTGCCTTGGAAAAAAACAGGTGCACTTTCAGCGCCAGTGCTTCGGCTCGAGAGGTTCGGTTTGGCTCAAATCGATTCAAAGACCACAGCGGATGAGCAACGGATCCCCCAACTATTCAGCCCATAGGTGCGACACCTCATTTTGAATTGGGCCTGAAGAAAACTTCCCGCAAGCAACCGGTGTGGTTTTGGGGTGAGATCAACGCTGCAACAGCATTGGAGAGATCATGCCTTGTGATTCCATTTCTCTTGTGGGTAACCAGGGAGACCACCCTTTGAACACGAAAAGGACATTGGCTGGTCACTGCAGCTGCAGCTGGGATCTACTGGGTAGAGTTTGTCCAGCCTCAGATCCAGCCTAGCATTGCATGTTGAAATCAGCCTTACGTCGTTTTTTCATGGATCTTGGCCCTTGAGACAAGCCAAGCATCGATTTTTCACACTTTTCACAAACCCAATCACCAGCATGCTTCGAACCCGCAGCTTCCCATCCAGAAAGCCCCGGACTCGGAACGGGGCCCAAGGGGTCCGTGACTCGGAACGGCCTCTTCCAATGCTGTTGCCCGACGCCTTCTTCGAGCGCTGGGACGTCCTCTCGGAGCACATCCGCGCCGCAGCACGGGCGAAGGATGCGCTGAACCTGCGCGCCAGCCACTTGGACCACAGGTGTCCAGCAACCCAAGGACGGGACTCCCCGTTTTGACGGGATCTCCCTATCTCCCTTGCCCTGAAACAGGGGATCCCTTCCAAAGAGAGAGGCGCAAAAGGAGGCAGATGTTCTTTTTTTGGAATGGCCCCCCTTTTGCTCAAAGGGAAACCAAAGATACTAAAGGGCATCCATCCTAGTGTGAGCACAAACCCAAATAAAATGGTGGAAGATCTGATGAAAGTGAACATGTTGTGGGATTCTCAAGACTACTTGTTGTTGAGGTTCAAGTTCACCACCGGTGTAAGGGCAAACATTTGGCCAGGGCTCATGTTTGGCTGGAGGGCAAAGCCATTTTTTGCACCTAATTTGCTTTGGCCGCGCCCTGGGCGGATCTTCGTGAGTCGCGTGACGTGTATGACACCCTGGGGGACGGCTCGAAACGAGGGCTTTGGCAAGAGGTCAGTGGAGTATCTCAGGAGATGACCACAAATGGCCGTGGGTCAACACCAATGGTACCATTTGGGCTAGGTGAATTCACCGCCCATTTTAGAACCTATTTTAGTGGTGATTGGGATATTCACTGGGGGGACGGGCCATTGTCCGGTTGAGGTTTGGAGCCGATCCGCCCAGCGGTTTTGTACATGAGAAACCGGGAGAGAGCACCCTTAGGCCATCTGGGTATGGGTCAAAATTAAACCAACAGGATATGGACCGCAGGTTTTAGTCCATGTTTCCATTTGCCAGGGCAACCCATTTTGGGTACCTGTTTTTGACCCACAGCCATCTAGCCATCTATCCACATCATCCAATAGGTGTCATCCAATAGGTGAATGCTGGTCAGGGATAGTTTTGATGTTTGCTCTGGTAACGAGGCGCAGCTCCTTTGTGGGACATGTGTCTTAGGTATGGTCTTTGAGACAGACACGTAGTTGTTGTTCTCCCCTCGAGCATTGGCCACACTCCAGCAGAACCTTTGCCGGACGGAGTGCCGACAATAGGCTGGCAAGGGGTGAGCATTGGACAACAAGTATAACCTCTCAAGGGGCTGTTTGAAAGGAAACAATTGAGACAAAACTGATAACACCTAGCTGAGAATGACAAGTGGGTGAGCTAAGCATGGTGCGATGGCTGTTGGCTGTAGGAGGGCCCCTGTTTCGGGAACCGCTCGTGCTCAGAGAGGTCATTGCTCCTCCAGCAATTTTTATCGAACGCATACACGCCTGCAAAAAGGGAGTAAGAAGAAGAGGAAGGGGAGTAGAGGACGAGGAAGGCGAGGAAGGGGAGGAAAGGAAGGAGGAAGGAAAAGGGGGAGGAAGTGGAGGAAGGGGCAGAAAGGGAAGCAGAAGAGAAGCAGAGCAAGCGGAAGTCAGTAAGACATGGAACTGAGGTTCCTTCCCAGGTTGGGGCAAATTGGGCAACAAGCAAGCCAACCCCTTCTCTCCGTGAAAAGCCGCACCGCCACACCGCCAAACCGCCAAACCGCCCTCCCTTTGGCGGGAGAGGCCTGCAGCGGCTGAGTGCGGACCCGAGCTTGCGTGCGGAGCGGCGCGGCGCGCCGGACTTTCAGCCGGTGCTCGAGGAGATCCCGGAGGCCGAGCTCTTCTTCGCGGAGGCGGGCTGCGGTTTCGGGTCGCGGGTTTCGGGGGCGAGCT